TCCCTCACTTCTCTGGGGTCTTTGTAACTTCTGTGGGTCGCATGGGCAAATGGGTGAGATCTACTTAAGATCGAAACCTTCCCTCTGTTCTTCCTGTCAGCCTGCTACTAAAACCTTAAGCTCTCCCTCTGCCCCTAAAATATTTGACCCAGCAAATTAGCCTCCTCTTTACCGCCTTCATTTTCTCCCATCCCCTCACATGCTACTCACTCCTTGCTATTAGACCTCAAAGATGCCTTCTTTTCCACTCCACTGCACCCTGACTCACTAGATCTCTTTGCCTTCATGTGGACAGACCCCTCTACCCAAACCTCTACCCAACTCCCCTGGAAAGTCCTTCCTCGGGGCTTCCGGGACAGCCCCCATCTGTTTGGCCAGACCCCAGCAAAAGACCTGACCTCCCTAATCTTCAAATCCTCCTTTCTTCTCCAATATGTTGGTGACCTTCTCTGCAGTGCCTCCCTAGAGGCCTCACAACAAGATACCTATACCCTTCTTAACTTTCTTTCTTTTTTTCCCCTCCCTCATTGAGTTTAGTGGTACACTTTAGGTATACAGCACAGTTACATCATCATTGGGATCTCATACCTTTACATGACAGGTCATTTGTTTGTTTGCTTGTTACCGGGAATCGAACTTGGGCCCCTGTGCTTCCGGGGTAGGTGGTGAAACCACTGAGCCAAATCCCTGGCCCTCCCTTCTTTCTGTCTCACAAGGACTATTGGGTTTCACCATCTAAGGTTCAATTGTGTCAACCCAAAGTAACTTATGTGTGTGGTGTTCTTCTTTCACAAGGTTTTAAGACCATCACCTAGATCGTAAAAAGCTCACACCTACCCCTAAACAAGAACTTCTCTCTTTTCTGGGCTTGGCTGGCTATTTACGCTTCTGGATTCCTGATTTTTTCCATTTTAGCCTCTCCCTTGTACGAAGCCTCACAGGTACCCCCTCAGGAACCTGTCCTTAGCTCTGTCACCACCCCCTTCTCCAATCCCTTCTACATGCACCCCCACCCCGCCTTACACCCCCAGAGGTCTCCCAGCCCTTCTATCTCTACACCTCAGAAAATCAGGGCTTCGCCTCAGGCATTCTTGGACACCTTACAGGCCCAACCTCTGCCGTCCCCCACTGCTTACCTCTCTAGAGGGTTAGGACCCCACCGTCCTGGGCTCGGGCTGCTTGTTTTAGGGCTCTTACCGCAGCCGCAGTCCTCATTCAAGAATCAGAAAAACTTGCATTCAGCTCCCCGCCCCCCCCCCGTTCTTTCACCCCATCCTCTCTCTGAACTTCTAACACACAAAAATGTTCAAACCTTGCCCCCTGCCGAGTGTTAACCCTACAGACCTCACTCATCAGCGATTCCCCACTGATTTAAAACTTGTCCTCCGCTCAACCCCTCCACACTGCTTCCCGCTCCTCTTGACCCAGACACTCCGAGAGATAACGCTGGTCGCAGCTGCCTCCAAGTCCTGGAAGAGCTCCTTCCTGTCCTGCCCACCTCTAATCCTGTTTGGTTCACCGATGGCAGCTCCTTTCTCCCCAGGGGAGTCCCGTAGAGCAGGGTATGCGATTGGATTGTGTCTTTCCAGGGGACGGGAGAGACAATGCCCCTCCCACCAAACACGACTAACCAACAGGCAGAACTATGTGCCTTAATTAGAGCCTTCCAACTGCAAAGGGCCAACTACTAACCATATACACTGACTCCAAGTGTGCTCACCATACCCTCACTTCACACTCTGCCTGGATAGAACGAGGATTCTTTAACACAAAGGGAGATTCCGTTACTAATTCAAGCCTCATTCTCAACTGCTCAAAGCCTCACAACTCCCTATGGGAATAGGTATAGTTCATTGTAAGTCACATCAGAGATCCATCCAAGATCACGGAGGGAAACAACAGAGCCAATCAGGCAGCAAAAAGGGCTGCACTACTCCCTGTAATGGACATCCTCAAGTCCTCTGACAACACGCCACCTGACACCCAAGACACCCCTTCAGACACTCAACCCCAACACCCTCTAAACAAATTCTGGCCTAACTTCACAGGCTCTTCCATCCTAACATCCAGGCTCTAGGCAAGTTTCTCAAAACATATTTTCCTCTATCCCCTTCAGATACTAATTTCCTTAAACAGTTTTCTGCCTCCTGTGAAATCTGCCAGTGCACCAACCCTTCTCCCACACAGCCACCTCCCTTCCTCACACATCAGGGGTGGGGACTCCTCCCAGGCATGGACTGGCAACTCGATTTCACACACATGCCCACAGTTAAAAGATTCAAATATCTATTAGTGTTAGTAGACACCTTTTCAGGTTGGGCTGAAACTTTTCCTACCTCCAACAAAAGGACTCTCACTGTCTCTAATCTCCTACTCACTGAGATAATCCCTCGCTTTGGAGTCCCCACCTCATTTCAGTCTGATAATGGCCCAGAACTCACTTCTCAAGTATCCCAAGCTTTAACCAAAGCCCTGGGAATCCCATGGCATTTCCATGTGCCCTTTTCACCCCCAATCCTCTGATAAAGTAGAAATAACTAACTGCTTTCTCAAGTCTGTCCTGACCAAACTCTCTCTTGAACTTCACTTAAATTGGATCAAGCTGCTTCCCCTTGCCCTCTTGCATCTCCGCTCTCTGCCAAAAAATCCTTTCAACCTCTCCCACTTCGAACTTATGTTTGGTGTTTTTGTTTGTTTGTTTGTTTTTAGACAGGATCTCACTGTGTAGCTGAGACTGACCTGGAACTCACTATGTAGCCCAGGCTGGTCTCAAACTCACAGCGATCCTCCTGCCTCAGCCTCCCAAGTGCTGGGATTGCAGATGTGCGCCACCACACCTGGCTTGAATTTATGTGTGAAAGACCTATGTTACCCCCGGGACTTACCCCTAAACCAACACAGTTACCACCACACTTGTTGATTCCCTTACTTAACCGTATGTGGTCTCTACTATGGCAACACACTGACTCCCTACTTCCGTCTCCCCGCTCCTCTTTACCTGCCGCTTACCAGCCAGGTGACCAGGTACTGTTTGTTAGCCCCACCACACCTTTCAAGGGGTCCCCTTAAACTGAGATGGCAAGGACCCTATACTGTCGTATTGTCCACACCCACAGCAATAAAGGTAAAAAACCTTCCGGGATGGTACCGCTGCTCTCGCCTTAAACCATTCCTCCAAAGCCCTCCTTCTTCAGTCACTTCCACAGGACGACATCCACCCTATGCTGCCACCCCCACTGGGCCACGCAAATTAAATTCACCCGGATCCCCGAAGACACAATTGTTCGCAATCCACCGTCTTCCCCAACTTGGGGGCCAGATAAGCTACAGTAACTCTCCTGTTTCCCCCCCCCAGTCAAAAATAAAAAATATATGACCAGGGACCCCATGGGGTATTGTGACCCCTGTAATACAGGGGCACCCACTGATGTCCTGAGCTTCCTCCCTACTGATCCTTTCTGGGTTCCTCTTTGGAATTGAACTCACTGGCACGGCCCCTTTAGACTGGAAAGCTCTAAATAAGTGGCTTTTAACAATAACTTACTATTTTATCATTACCCTTCTTAGCATTCTAGGCTGCTGGCGTTAACTTGCCATCCAACCTTTCTAAAAGTCTTGTTTTTGTCCGGACATTTAGAGCAGGAGATGTTAGTTTATCCTCTCATGCTTACTTGTCTTGGTCTGCTCACGGGATCCCTGCAGGCCCTGCCCCTGTGTATGCCCTCGACTCAGACCACGGCAGAGGCCCTCCACAGCGCACCTGGACAGGGTATTGCAACAAGTGGTGTGGGAAAATGGTGTGGTTACTAAAAATACTCCCCCGGATCATTTGTCTCCTATACGTAAGTGCACAGCAGCTGCTGTCCAACCTCCGAGATCTGTATCCAAGATGTGGTCTGACACAACATGGCACTCATGACAGGCCTTTGTCTCACGCTGTGGCAGAGGAAAAAGGGTGGATTCCTGCTTTTCAAGGGCTCCTCAACTGGGAATGCCCGACGGGGGAGGAGTCCCAGCCCAAGCCTTCCGGGAGCGCATCGAACTAGTAAAACAGACCCTCATAAAATGTTCATAACCACCTACACCCCCTCCCTACAAGGCAACTGACGTCCAAAAAATCAGGTACATAACGGACTCACAACAAAGAATTCCCAGGCTATTCAATACTCACATTAATACAATTCGTACTGGCCAATGTGCTCGTTGGATGTGCCTCCCCATAGTACCAAGGCCGTATACCCTTTCCCAGTTCCCCTGTCATACACTTACACCTGTCAAACAAACGTATCTGAAAATCATAAAGCTTATAGAATTTATGCCACAGGCTCGCCCACACCCATAGACTAACCAGCCTTACCTGTGTAACACAAACCGATCTAGCTTCCAGTGTCTCAGATCTACGCCGGGCCAACTTATCTCTTGATAGTTGTCCATGCTTCCCTCCCGGCTTATTTTTCATATGTGGAGATTCAGCACGGAGGTGCCTCCATACCTCCACCATTCCACGCTATGTCGCTTTCCTGACCCCACCTCTAAGACTTTATACCCAGATGAGGTCTTTTTAACTTACGTATGGCCATCCCGAGATCCATCTAAAAGGGCTGCTCCCCTCCTAGCCCTGGTTTTGGTGGGAGCAGGAACCCTAATGGGAATAGGAACGGGACCAGCGGAAATGTCAACATCCACTCATTTTCACAGGGCCCTGTCTGAAGAGCTTAATGAAGATATGGATGGAGCAGCAGACACCTTGCTCACTTTACAAACCAAATCAATTCCCCTGCGGCTGTGGTACTCCAAAATCGGAGGGCCCTAGACGTCCTCACCGCAGCTCAAGGAGGCATATGCCAAATGTTAGGAGAAGACTGTGGTTATTTTGTTAACAAGCCAGGCACAGTCACCTCTAAAGTTCAAGACCTCCGAAAGAGAATTAAAAGGAGAAAAGATCAGTTGGAAGACCTACAGTCATACCCCATTGCAGAGTGTGCTGCCGTGGATCCTACCTTCGCTTGGCCCCTCGATTGCATCCTCATTCTGGCCACGGTTGCCCCCTGCTTACTCCGATTCCTGCAAAATCAAATCCAAACAATGTCTAATCAAACTGTCAACCAGCTTATTTTACAGGAACACGTTCACTTGTCGCTTCGTTAAGATCATGTCATGGATCCGACTGTGGTTCCAGCTCTTCATTGCCCAGCTACAGCAAGATCGTCACTGGCTTTACCCCTTAGAAGAGTTTCCAGAAGGAATGAGTGATAGAGCGGATTACAGGTCACTTTCACCCAGGAAACTTCCACGATTTCAACTCCCCAGAGCTAACTCTATACACATTTCTCCTCCTCATACTCTTCCCTGTGAGACCTGACTGAGCTAAAGTGACTTCATGCTGGCCTGCTAAGGACCCCCAGAGACTGCTATGTTCCCCTCCCCTTATCAAACATCAGGGAAAACTGCTCAAACTGCAAAAACCTTCTTGGGCTAATGGCAAGCTTGATTAGCAAGACTGGCCAGGGAACAGACAGGATGTTAAAGGGGACCATAAAACACTACCCCTGTAAGACAAGTGTAAGATGAGTAATGTGTCTGGAGTTTCTCCCCCTTTCAGTTGTGAGAAAACCCTGACCTACGTTTGAACTTTTTTGTTTGAAAAATCCTGTAAAAGTTATGCACAATCCTGTAACGGGGCTTCACTTCTCTTAGGAAGTGGAGTCTGCACGTGTGGAATGAACTTTTTTCAGTCTTATCTGTGTCCCGGTATTTGGTGTACTCGCTGGCTCGGTACAACATTCCCCACGACCGCTGATGGAAATACCAGATTAGGTTTTAATGATGTCATACCATCCCAAGACTATAAGGCTAGATCAACAACTTTTGGTGTCTAGCTCTCAACAATATTCATCCCCCACACAAAGATTTAATCTGTCGCTTATCCTTTAAGCCACAGAATTGCCCCTATTGCACTGAATATATGAGCTCCTCCTCAAATTCATCATGGCAGAGACAAGATAATTTAGTTCTACTTCCAGGATATTGTAAAAACCACCAAAAAAAAAAAAAAAAAAAAAAA